GCGGCGGTAATCGCTTGCCAACTTTTGACATAAAAATAAACAACCAGCTATTGTTTATGTCACAAACCAACCGAATTTCTACGACCGGCTATGTCCTCGTGATGATTAAAGTTATTTCACCAGCTTTTATTCTCTGTTGCTGTAGCACTTTCTCTTTAGCATATTCTTAAGACTTGACGAATTAAGTTATTATCTATATATTATAATATGTATCTTTTGTGTCGTGAGATCGTTTGTTTTTAATAATTGATGTTCCTTATTGAAAGTGTTATACCAGCGCGTTTCGTCAGGTGAATAAATGTAACCGGAGCCTACTATATTAAAACATCTGCAAAAACGCTATGGGTATTGCCAAATCTCAACGGGCGGAGGTTATCACTTAACATTAGGTGAACCGCCAGATCGCTCGCCACCTTCTCACATTAAAAAAAATCTTTTTAATTTATCGTTCTTTCGCGTTTTCTCTGTTTTCAATCCATGCTTATTGCGTAGGTCATTTGTCACCTGGACGGGTGATGGAGGTTTAATGAAATTTACAAGCGCATTTTTAATAACAAATAACAAAAACGACTTCAAATATCTCACTCACTATACATTTTCTATTTGATTTTAATTAAATAACAATTAAATTAATACATGGGAGCTAAACCGAACCGAATTTAAAATCGGTTAATAGATGACGGAGTTCTCAGGTAAGAAACATAAAAAAGAAAACGGACTCGCGCACTAAGGGTTCCGTACCATTATCTATAAAAACGGCAAAAAAAATCATGTCTGTTGTGTGGGAGCCTCCCCTTCAAAATTTGTATTCTATTTTTTAGTGCTTGTTGTTACAGGGGCAACAGAAATATGTGAAAACTTCAACTGCCTAACTAGCACGTTTCATGAGATACAGCCTGGTGACAGACGGACAGACAGACAGACAGACAGTGGAGTCTTAGTAATACGGTCCCGTTTTACCCTTTGGGTACAGAGACCTAAAAACACAACCGAATTGAAAAACTTCTCCTTTTTTGAAGTCGGTTGAAAATGTGAATTTTTGATTGATAAATGAATAAAACATCTCGGCGCCGCGGGATCGAACCTGCTACTTCTGGATGACGCGCTTAAACGCTTAAAAATTAAGCTAAGCGGCCGATGACGTCACGGCGTGTTTCAGGCGAAATTTCAGCATCTACATTCTTTAGTTCGTTTTTGGGAATGCTTGGCGCCATCTAGTGTGCACACTTTAATGTTAAATTTGTAGAAATACGATCGAAAGGTTATTCGCCACTGCGAGGATTTCAACCTGCAGTCTCCGGGATACGGTCCCGACGCTTTAGCCACTGATCTAAGCGACTTCGGATGAATACATCGAGATATTTCCGTCAGAGGTTAGCCTACGTGAGTATCAACAGTATTAACCCCACACATTGGCGTCGTCAAGATATTCGGCAATAGTATAATAGGCTTTAGCCATAAGTGTACTTCTAATTTTTCGTTTAAATTCATCAAGTGGCAGACTTAACATCGACTGTGGGATTTTATTATACATGCGCACACTTTGCCCCATGAACGATCTGTTTACTTTTTGTAGGCGAAATAATGGCGTAGTTAGTTTGTCCTTATTTCTAGTATTTAGTTTATGTCTGTCACTATTCTTTTGATAATTATTAATATTCTGTTTAACATACAAAATATTACAAAAAATATATTGAGACGCAACAGTGAGTATATTAATCTCTTTAAAAAGATCTCTGAGTGTATTCCGGGCTCCGATGTTATAAATTGCTCGGACAGCTCTTTTTTGAATAATAAATATTGAATTTATATCAGATGCACTACCCCACAACAAAAATGCCGTACGACAAGATGCTGTGAAAATAACTGTAGTAAAACAAGTCTGGCAGTGTCGATGTCTGATAGCTGCCTAACCTTCCTAATTGCAAAAACAGCGGAGCTTAACCTATTCGCAAGAGATGATAGATGGGGACTCCATTGGAGCTTTGAATCTACTGTGATTCCCAAGAATACAGCGGACTCAACAGTATTAAGGGTTACGCTATTCAATTTTAAGCTAAAAATTTCCCTTCTTACGTTGGGAAGGGCAAAAAGAAGGCATTTAGTTTTTTTAGCATTTAACACCATATTATTAATGGTAAACCAGTGGAGGATACGCGAAAGTGCACTATTCACGTCGTCATAATTCGATACATTTCGGTCAACCTTAAAAATAAGCGATGTGTCGTCAGCAAACAGTACAACATCACATAACTCACTGGCATAGAAGGGGAGATCATTTATATATATACTAAGAATAATAATGGGCCCAAGATCGATCCTTGTGGGACACCCATTTTCATGGGGGACCCTGTGGAATTTACATCATTTATAGATACTTTTTGAATTCTATTATTAAGGTAAGAAGCAATGAGATTGAGGGCGATGTCACGAATGCCATAATAATCAAGCTTTAGAAGGAGGGTTTTGTGATCCACGCAGTCGAAAGCTTTTGAAAGGTCGCAAAAAAACAACACCTATTGCATCTTGCGACCCTTCCCAGGCGTTATAAATATGTTTGACAAGTGCGATACCCGCATCTGTTGTCGATCTGCCTTTAGTGAATCCATATTGCTCATTGTGAAAAATTTTGTTCATATTAAAATGTACTAAGAGCTGATTTAAAATTAGTTTTTCAAAAATTTTACTCAGAGATGGCAATATGGAGATAGGTCTGTAGTTTCCTGGATCATTTTTATCCCCACTTTTCAAGACTGAGATTATCTTACTAAATTTCATAAGATCTGGAAATATTCCAGAATCTATGCAGTTGTTAAAAATATTAGCTAAATGTGGTGCAATATATGGCATTATTGTGGTCATTAATTTTATGGACATGCCCCATAAATCCCCTGTATTCTTAAGATTAATAGAATTCAAAACTTTTATAATATCATAAGTATCTACGTGATTAAATTTAAATGTGTGTGGACAAAAGGTAACATTATTTCTTAGAACGTTAATTGCATCTATGGGAGATGATTTTAATGTACATGTGACATTAACTGCAATTTCTGAAAAATAGCTTTCAAAACTACTTGCAATTTCATTATCTGATGTTATGGGAGTATTACCTATAACCAGTTTTATAGGTTCCCTGAATATCTTGGGTCTTCCAGATATACGGGTAATGATGTCCCATGTGGCTTTAATTTTATTGTTTGAATTTATTATTCTATTTCTTGTATGAATAGATTTTGCCTGAATACAGACTTTTTTAAATATTTTTGAGAACATTTGTACCCTTTTATGAAAGTTGGGGTAATGATTCCCCTGCCTCATATTATATAATTCATACAGTGAATCCCTACTTTTATATATACCCACTGTTGCCGAGTCACTAAATTTTAATTTTGAATTTTTAACAATTGTGCGCGATTTAAATATATCATTATAAGAAGATATGAGAAAGTCAACCATTGATTAATCATTAGGATTATTGACTTCTATATCTTTATTTAACATATGATGTGCCACTTTGCCTTTAAAAGAATTTATTCTATTAGTAGTGACTGGTCTACACTTGATCTTATGTTTGCTTGTAATAACTTTTTCATTTATTGAAAATTTTAAACCAAAGTGGTCAGAGCTCAGATAATTTATAACATATTTATCATATACATTATCGTGGCAGAAAACGTTATCTATACATGTGGAGGATGAGTTAGTGACACGAGTTGGTTCATGAAAAAGATTATTAAGTTTAAATGAACTAAATAAATTTAAAAGTCGTTTACTAAGATGTGTCACTTGTAATAAATCCACATTAAAATCTCCACAAACTACTACTGATTTACTACTTGAACAGAGTTTTTTAAGTACATCATCCATTACACACTCAAACAGATCGAAATCACCTGAGGGGGGTCGATACACGCATACTATAATATACTGTTGACTCTCAACGCAGGATAATTCTATAGAACGTTCGACAGAGTGTGCTACTATATCCTGTCGATTTTTACAGACTATATCAGTTCTTACTAACACAAGAGAGCCACCGCGAATAGCATTTGCTCTTACGAACGAACTTAACAATTTATAGTTCTCTATATCTATAATATTAAAATGCTTATGTAACCATGTCTCTGTGAAGCAGATGACATGGATGTTAAATCTTCTAAGAAACAGCTCAATTTCAGGTTCTTTGCCACCTATGCCTTGTATATTTTGGTGTACAATATTTAATTTAAGTGGCTTAGGTGTTGTCTCAATGTTTAGTTTAAACTAACATTGTTTTTTGTAAAATTATTGCAAAGTAAAATGTTCTTAGTTGTACAATGTACAACTGGGTTTTGTATATTATATGCTACTAAAGTAGCAATTATTTTCTTATAATATAATACCAAGTATTTTTTGTCACCTTAAAACTAGACTTAATAAAACTATTTATGTCAAAATAAAAGAAAGCGTCACTATGACGGTGAGTTGTATTATATATAGTCATGTTAAGACTATATATGTCTTTATTTTGTTCCTCTGTAAGGAAGGAGGAATATGGAAATGCGCATATTATAAATTTACACTTAGTCTTGTATTCTTTAAGATGTTTTGTAGAATTTTTTTTATTTTAATGTGCTGTATTTCTTAAAATACGCACAATCGAAGCCTCGTCATTTTCACCAATAGATCTTAAAGCTTGTACCCGGGCATTACATACATGCCTCATTCCGTACTCCTGGACCAACTCCATGTCTTTGCGTTTTTTTTGTATTTTCTGAACACTCGTCATAAGGTTTACTGGGTCTAGCTGGATCTCCAGAAGTGTTCAATACAGAACCTTTTTTTTATACTTTATTGTACAACACAAAGAATTCAATACAATTGATATAAAATAAGTCTTAAAAGCTAGGTACAAAAAGGCGGTGTTATCGCTAAAACAGCGATCTGTTTCAGACAACCTTAGGACGAGGAAAAATAAACTAATGAGTAGTGGGTGGTAGTGTGCTTAATAAACTTACTTAATACCTTCAGAAGTGGAAGAAGTGCATGAACCCGACGATACTTTAAACTCCCTGTTCAACCAGTCGGCATTTTGACTCTCAAACCGATCAAGCTTTCTTTGGGCTTTTGTCCAAAGAAAGCTTGATCGGTTTCGACCATGAACGGTTTCGAGCTTGATCGGTTTCGACCATGAACGGTTTCGACCTTGATCGGTTTAGACCTTGATCGGTTTCGACCCATTTTTGTTTACGGAGACACCAAATTTTTTTGTATGCTCTGTATCACTGTATTAACATCTGTTGCCGATAAATGGAAATTATCCATTAAATATTTTTGAAGATCTTCAGTACTTTTGCCGCTTATTAAAAGCGAACGTATATCACGGCGAAACAAATTTACTCATTTTTATATTTTCAACAGTAGTAAAAAAGTATCTGAATACTTTGTTGAAAATGCTGAAAAACTCGTGTTTATATAGGACCCCAGCTTTAGTAACTTATGCAAAACCAATGAGAAAACTGATAACATAATGTTCTCATAGAAAACAAGGTAACCTATACTAATAATTAATTAGCTTTTGTATTATTTTATGTTTATTGTGAAGTATCGTTAAAAGTGTGTTTATTTAAGGTCGCGGCATCACAGCATGTATTTTTCAATCATATTCATTTATTTCACATGATGGAACATATACAAATTGAACCGCCCAAAATTGACCAAATCGCCAAAATTGGCGATTTGTAAACATCCCACGGATATATTGATTGATATATACAATTTGGGTCGCCTGTTTTCCAGGCACATCGTTTATTGACCGCTAAAAATTTCGTGACGCGACAAGTACGAAAATATGCACATATCCGGAAACGGATAAACTCGGTATTTCTCTGCGTGATAGAGTTTGAATCGAAGACGAACGATGTGTTCGTCTTCGAATGCAGTTCGCAGTTTGAATGAATCCACAGTACAAAGGTAACCAAAATAGCTCAAAAGATTAGCAAGCAAAGTGGCGATGGGCCGGCCATATAGCTCGTAGAACCGATAACCGTTGGGAAAGAAAGGTTCTTGGGTGGCCTCGTACTGGCAATCGCAGCGTAAAAACCCCCCACTAGATGGCGTGAAGACCTGTGCGAATGTGCTACCGACTAGTAGACGACAAATCGACTACCCGATGGATGCAGGTGGCACAGGATCATGCTTCTTGGCAGTCCGTGGTGGAGGCCTATGTTCAGCAGTGGACTCGACATGCTGAAAAATTAAAGAAAAAAAAAATACTGAAACAAACCTTTATTGCAGTATGTGCAGACGAAACGCCTCTCAGCTCGATGATTTCTGAGGTGGTTCTGAAGCTGCAAGCTTTTCTGAAAGGATTTATGGCAAATGCCGCAGTACAGCCCAGTTTCATTGCTGTCCTAAAAATAGAAAAGGAACATCACAATGCCCTCCACACAAGTTGCACCATTATTATTATTTTTCACTACAAAGGGCAACCACACAGCTTAATGGGTCTTAAAAGGTCTTATTGGTATTTAACACTATGCTCCCTTGATCACATAAATTTGAAATTTTGAATACACATGGCATTCCATATACATAACATGTATAAATACTAATCTTTTCTAAGAAACTGTGGGCATGTTTTTAATAAGACCAAGAAGTGTTTATTTTTAACTGAATTTGTTGCAAGTTGTGATGACCTGATGTGAAGACTATTGTCAAAGAAATAGATATTTTTAACTTTCAATGATCAATATTTACCAAAACCAACTAAAATACTTTAGATATAATTATTTAAACTGATATGCCTATTTCTATTCATTATTTGCGTTATTTTAATATAGATACTTGTATTGTTATTTGAAAACTCCTTCATATTATTATAAGTAAATAAATAATGATAACTTGGGATTCTTTTTCATTAAAATTTATATTGGTAATTCACATGCTACATATCACACATTAAGCATGGCTTCTTTTTAACTTGAATAGTGTTAAATTAAAAAGCTCTTTTGTTAGAAAGCTTTACCACTATTATTTTCAAAAATACCTCTTCAGTGTTGGAAGACCTAGGATCTGTTACATCTGATGCAGGATCTCCAATAGTAACTTCTGGCACAAGAGGCTGGCATTTAAAACAGGCATACACACCATCTTTCCCAGTTTCAAACAATTGCTGAAATATTGAAGTACTAATTACATTTAAACAAGAACTGATTTTTTAACAGGTACTAATAATAAATATCATCAAAAAGAATTTTCATCTTAGTTAACAAACCAGTTAGTTTGAAAATAATAAAACCGACATATTTAAAAAAAACACAATACATAAAAAAACAAAGGATTTCTTGAGATCCGAAGCGGCCAGCCAAGAAAGGAAAAAAAGGAATGTTTTTATACAGCGCAGAGCCAGACGAAAAAAAACACACCCGAGAGGCGAAGAGATAAAAAAAATAAGGCGGGCAGGTTTCGAACCGAAGTTTTTTATTATTATTGGTACAATAAACTGTACGCGTTAAAAATAACTTTCAACTAGTACTATTTAATATAACTTTTCTACAGAAACTACTTACAAATAACAGTGTTAATTTTATACCAATCTCGCAAAGAAAACAAAAAATATTGACGGAGTTCTGCGATACATTAGTATTATAGTAGTTTCACGTCTACTTACAACTGCTGGTTTGAGGCAGATTCCACATTTATCCATTTTAAAAGAAAACTTGTTCAATTATTTATGTACACAAATATAAATCCGTAAATATTACTATTTTTCTCATTATACGATAGTCCGTCAGAAAAAGACAGGCAGAAGCGGGGTGGGGCAAAGTAGTGAAGGGGAAGAGGGGGGTTACGCTAACCATAGACTACGTGAAGTATTAAACATATCAAACAAGATTTGACAGGATTTTTTCAATCCCATAAAATTATTTTTTTTTTGTTTGCTGCATTTTTTGACTAGATAATATTTCATTTATAAGTTTTTTGTAATAGTAATTTTTAAGTTCAATGAAGCAATATTTTAAATAATAATGGTTTTCATAAAAAAAATATTCAAATAAATAACTTGTGAAATTACGTAGGTAACCGTAGAATGTCAAGAACCGACCTTCGGTCACTCCTGTGGCAGCGCGTTATGAAAACAGAATTTTGAATTCTATGTTAGTTGATATGCTAAATTCAGCACCTAACACGATGAAAATAGCGAATCATGCTCACCAATAAACAAACATGTTTTAGTTAAGTCACTGTTAGCTGATTATATAAAAGGAAAGAGACTGAATATCACAGAAGACAGTCTTTCGTGGTGGAAAGTAAACCCAAAATATTTTGAAAATTATGAAGTAGTACGTCAGTATTTATCGGCCCCTCCATCAAGTGTTCCCAGTGAACGCCTTTTTAGTCGTGCTGGGTTGGTTTACAATGAGCTACGAAACCATTTATCTGGAGAAACAGTATCTAAATTATTCTTTATTAAATTCAATTTACCAGAAATTAATTTTCAATATTAATATTTAATCATTTTTAGCACTAATTTTAAAAAAAAATAATAAATAAATACTTTTCGCATAAATGTAATTTGTTCTTATCTTAAAAAAATACGCAGGTTTTATTTTAATTGTAAAAGCTTAATAATATATATTTTGCCCAAAAAGAATATTTTTGTTATGTTGTTACTTATTTCTTCTCCTCTTTCTCATCCTCTTCCTCATTGCAGATTCTCATCCTCATCCTCAAATTTTTTCTAAAAAAGTCCTCATCCTCATATCTAATGGTTTTAAAAAAATGCAACGGCAATGTGTAAGAAACACTCTAGTTCCATAGACTTATCGTTCATACTTTGACATTCATGAAATCATGAATGGTATGGTGATAAATAATTGACATCGACAGCTGACAACTAAAATAAGTGACAAATACAAGAACATGAGTAGGGGTCTAAACTAAAGATTTTTTTCTAATAATCTGCTTTATCTTTCGCTGTCGTTATTATTTTATTGTTGTTCATATTATTCCTATACTGCCTTTTTCTGTTACGTTATAAATGTAAACTTTTATTTAATAGAGTGTGCAATAGTTTTCCCCCAATGTTATAAAATTCATAAGGGCCTCAACAACTTCTTGTAATACTTACGTCGCAAAAATGTCTGAAAAACCAGTTGTAGCCAGTGGCAATCAGCCGATCGTTAAAATAGGTCATTACACGTTAGGAGCCACTCTTGGAGTGGGTACATTTGGTAAAGTTAAAATTGGTGAGCACCAACTGACCAAACATAAAGTTGCCGTGAAGATTCTTAACAGACAGAAAATTAAGTCACTCGATGTTGTTGGGAAAATTAGACGTGAGATTCAAAATTTGAAGTTGTTTCGACATCCCCACATAATTAAATTGTATCAGGTAAGCTCTTAAATTATTATTAAATTATATTAGTACTCTTATATTAGTACTCTTAAATTATATTAGTAACTTTACAAAAGAAACTACTTGTTCTGCCTAGCTGCATGTATATTGTTTAAATAAAATTATGGTCCACCGTGGTTTCCTTACTCTAATAAGCAACTAATTCTATCTACACTGATGTGTAAAACCAATAAGTAACAATATATGTCTCCTTCAGTTCATCAGGTGTGTGGAATGGTTGAATTTAAATGAAAATTTGTTTTCATTATTGTAATATGATATTCCAGAGATATTCAAATAATTTAGTATAATTTTGTGGTGCCTGTTACATGTTTACATAAGTACATCCCTTACTAGATAATTACATATAGCATGATTTCCCACTTGCACTCACTAATATTGTGATCATCCAGTTATCAACACCTTTACAGCCCTTGAATTTTAAAATGTATTTTTTTAGAATTTGCAGATATTGTCTTCTGAGATTTTTTGTTTTCAAGGCATGATTGTCAAGAAAATGATAAGCAATTCACAAAATAATTTTTTTCAATTATAATCACTATAATCTCACTATCTAAGTTGTTTTGCCATTACCTTTTTTTAATTACAATAATTCAACAACTTTTTTGTTTATTTGCAAACAAAAAAAAACTTTTGCTTATGTACTGAATGCTTCTTTTAGGTGATTTCTACTCCAACAGACATTTTCATGATTATGGAATATGTGAGTGGAGGAGAACTGTTTGACTACATTGTAAAGAGGGGAAAGCTTCAGGAACATGAAGCAAGACGATTCTTCCAACAGATAATCTCAGGAGTTGACTACTGTCATAGACATATGATTGTACATAGGGACCTTAAGCCAGAAAATTTGCTCTTGGACCACAACATGCATGTGAAGATAGCAGACTTTGGATTATCCAACATGATGATGGATGGGGAATTTCTGCGAACATCTTGTGGGTCGCCAAACTATGCAGCACCAGAGGTACATTTATAATTTCCCTTAGAGGACAGGCATTACTTATGTAGCCTTGCATAGCTGAATTTTTTGTAAGACTCACATGTGTATGTCACTGAACTCATCCTAAACGACTGAACTGATTTTATTGAATTTATTTGTGTGTCTTCATGTCGATTCGAGAATGACTTAATACCAAAATTTGGTTCTGTACATATTTTTTAAATTTTTTTATTTATTAGTTGTCAAATTTAAGTAGTTGTACAGGACAATTTCTGTCGGTTTGGCTAGTTATATATATATATATTGTATATACAGGGTGGCTTTTATAAAGTTGTCCAAATTCACACAGGAGGTTCAGAATCGGTAGTATAATCGTTTATTGAAATAAAAACAAACTTTTTTTTTCAAAAACTACCATTCTATTCCATAAAAAACAGAACTTGTTGACAATGCGGTAGTCATTCATAAATGCGTCGTATACTTTTGAAACGAACTTGTGTGCGTGTTAGTTATGAATGATCGCGCGTAAAATAAATGAGCTGCCCATAAATTACGCACTTTCTGAGATATGTTCAAATTTATGTAATTAATTAATTACAAGTGATTTTAAATATTTGTAATTTTTTATATAACTTTATTTATGTCTAGAATTTAATTTATAAAATGGATACACTTAGAAAAGCCTCCCTGTATAATATATGAACCTTTACCGACGACATCGTAAAAGTCGCGGGCAACCGGTGGATGCAAGAGTGTAGCTCATGTCATTGTGGCATTCTAAGGGGGAGGCTCTTGTTCAACAGCCTGGTCAGTGTGGACGTCTTGCGGTTGATGATGATGATGATTATAACCTTAAGCAACTTATGTATGTGAAAAAAAAATGGAGATTTATTTGTGTATATATAATTTCTTTACAGGTCATATCTGGTAAGCTGTATGCTGGTCCAGAAGTAGATGTGTGGTCTTGTGGCGTCATCCTCTACGCGTTACTATGTGGAACCCTGCCATTTGACGATGAACACGTGCCAACGCTCTTCCGCAAGATTAAATCTGGAATATTCCCCATTCCTGAATATCTGAATAAGAATGTTGTCAGCCTCTTGTGCATGATGCTCCAAGTGGACCCAATGAAGAGGGCGACTATAGAGGACGTAAAGAAACACGAATGGTTCCAGAAAGAATTGCCCGAGTATCTTTTCCCGTCACCAGTTGAACAGGTACGACTTGAAATTTAATATAATATGTCTATTATTTAACGAAGATCAATTATCGTATCCCGATTTATAGGAGTGCTTTAGAAATACCCAGATACTGGAATACTTGTCAAGTGCACTATGAAATACTCAAAATCTATTTCTTTGTCGTCTTGGGTCTCAATAATGTCTCTCTTAGGACTAAATAAAAAGGAATAATTAAATTTTTTTCTTGTATATTACGAATATTCATTACATCAAAAATACATTCCACTAGGACAGCAGTGTCATTGACACCGAGGCTATAGCCGAGGTGTGCGAGAAATTCAGCGTCAAAGAGCACGAGGTGCACAACGCTCTTTTGAGCGGCGACCCCCACGACCAGCTCGCCATCGCTTACCACCTGATCATAGACAACAAGCGGATTGCGGACGAGGCGGCGAAGGCGGAAATCAAGGACTTCTATGTTGCCAGTAAGAAATTGTTCCGCCAAAATGGCCGTTATTTGTCAAAGTATCTAATAATCAACAATTTAACAGAGGATAGGAATATACATTATTAGATCCCCTAGCTTCTGCACACGACGCGATTTCGAAACCGCAACTTAAATCGGCACCTATCACTAATGTAGGCTAACCAGTTGACCTGTGAAAAATTATCGCACAGTACCGTGATCATTCACCGAATGCTAATGTAATGTCATAATATTTTGAACATTAAGTTTTCTCAGTCTACTTCACTATCTTTTATTTAAAGAAATTGTCATTAGATTCTAATCTATTTTAGTATATTCTTCATAAGAATTTTTTTTATACGATGAAAATATTAACTTTATTCGACCTGTTTATTTTTTGTCTTTTATGGCATATATAACCTGTAAAATGGTGTTTAAATCATTAAGTTTTATAAAGAATTATGTAATTTATAGAGTTCCCACAAAAAAAAACTATTGCGAAGTAATATATAGAGATAAATTTTAAATTGATGATGTTTTAATAATAATCGTTATTGTTAGGCGACGATAGATGAAATATCGTAATTATCACTCTACTTGAAAGCATATAGCTCGAAAAACCGATAGCCAATGGAGGAGAGAGGTTTTTCAGTGGCAGCCTCGTATAGTGCGACGATCCCCCATTAGATGGGGTGATGACCTGTTCAAATGTGCAGGAAGTCGATGGAAGCACTACTTGTCGTAGGGTCACGAGGCAGTTTCTACTGTTCTACAAATGGGCAGGCTCATCCGGGGAAGCACCACTCTACCTTATCTCTCAGAAGACCGGCGTGAAGTGAACATGTTATACTTTCGCGTTTCGTTTGGTGTGTGAGGTAACCGCCGCCCACTTTTTAGAAAGTTGTCAGCACATCTACGAGTAGTAACTTAAGATCTGGCGAACCGCCTGTTCATCTGACAACTTTTCTTAAATTATAAATAAAGTTGCTCACGATCGTGCTTCGTGGCAGTCTGTAGGCGAGGCCTATGTCCAGCAGTGGACTAAAACGGGCTGATGATGAATTGTTCTAAGCCTAGCATCCAGCCTTTAGCCCATATATGACATAGGTGATGATGATGATTGCAGGCAACTCCCCTCCAGCGATAACGGAAAGCGGTCGTCCCCATCCCGAACGAATAGCGCCGCTTCGTAGCAAAGAGTCGCCAGCCGCACAGCCCGCTCAGGACAAACAAAGGGGCACCCCCGTGAAACGGTACACATAACACACACATACAATATTTATTAACATTTACAGCGTCTTCATTATTCGACAGAAATTATTAAATATTTAAGGAAGTCATTCATCAAATACTATGTCTATGTGGCAGCTTCCAATTTTGCATGAGTTTGCAGGCTCAGGCAGGGAAGTAGTACCACCCACTTTAATAAAAGAAGACGATAATATCGCAACATGAGGTGCAACCTTCACAACTTTCATGTTTTCCAACTTTTTACATAAAAAAGTCAATCAATGTCTATACATATAAAGTAATGTCCTACTGTTGGTCAAAAGCCTATTCTGTATTGTAGAGATATTAGAACATAGCCCATAATATGATGGTGACTCCGTGGCGTAGTTGTCGTGAGTTCGATTCCAACACGTGTCAACACAGGATAATGTTATCCTAAAGTAAGAGGACAATGTTTTCGAAGGGGAGACTACAATAGATCTTTCTAGGTTGCAGTGGACATTGGGGCTTCCTCTGAAAAGTACGATACACTGGTTTGTCCACTTGTTCAATATGCCTAAGCACGTCTACACACTATGTTACACCCCTGACTCTAAAACCAAGAGAACATCAGACTAATTTATGCCATTTTCTTTCCAGGGCGAAGTGGCATTTGGGAATCAGATCCCAGAGCAAACCCAACGACATCATGCTAGAAGTGTTCCGCGCGATGAAAGCTCTCGACTACGAATGGAAAGTGATTAACCCATATCATGTGAGGTATGTGCCTGTGTATTAAAAGAGATTCGTAAACTTATCTTCTGACAACTTATACAAGTTGTGACATGTACAGTGTTAAATTGTACATGCAAATAGTACTTATTGCATTCATATATACAGTGCATTTTGTATCTTCATTTATTTGGGAAAAATTTGGCACCACTTAAGAAGACAGGGTTGTGCGAGTCCTATACTCACTAAAAACCCATAGTAGGAACTCCATAGTGCCATAGAAGGGCTCTGGAGTCTACATACCAAATCTCTTGCCTTGGTGAAGTGGGGCAATACAGACAAAGCGAGAATTGAATTGTAATCTATCCAGAAGCTTTTCTATGATACGAGCACAACAGCAGACCTCTATCAGATTATTTATATAGATATTTTAGCAGTGATAAGTGCGGACGCGAAGGTATAAGGTAATTTTTTGGAGAACACCTAAGCAGCTTGCTAAGTTTAAAAACGGCCGAAATACTATTCATGAAATATAACTTACCATTGTTTCATTTACAATTATATGTATATTAATTTAAAACAAAGGAATATTTTTCCTTGGTTCCATCTTCGTTTACGCAACCGTTTCTATTTCAGTTTACACTTGGGTTTTTCTTTTGATTTGTTTCTGCCTCCTTTGTCACTTTTATTGCATCACTACCGCTACCTGGTAGTTTATAGGTAGACTCAAACTTAGATTAAAAGGTTTAGACCAATTGCTTGTATAACATTGCCTGTATACCCATTCTCATAATTAATATAGAAAAAAAATAAACATAAAACGGGTGTTAAATATGTATTTACTGGGTGTCAATACTCTTTCCAGGGTACGCACTTTAAACAAAATGACGGATAAACACGTGAAGATGTCGCTGCAGTTGTACCAGGTCGACTACAAGTCTTATTTGCTGGACTTCAAGTCGCTTTCCGGCGAGAAGGAGGACTCTGAGGACGAAGTGACGTCACCGATGGTCGCCGCCCTCCCCCCCAACCCCGCCACAATCCCCGCACAGCCGCAAGGCCACCACACCATGGAGTTCTTCGAGATGTGCGCAGCCCTAATTATACAACTGGCACGATAGTGAATAGATACCTGAATTTTTTAACGGAATATTTGTGATCTCCCACTGAATCAATCATTCTTTGAGGAATTTTTCCATTACGCGTTCGAACTTCGTGTTATTTATTTTAATCGTTGTCCGTGGCCCCCTCACAAACCTCCATTAGCACTAACCAGCATTAAATTCGGTTATTTTTCAAGATGAAGTCTTATCAATAAAATATTAAGGCTGAACTTCCAGTGATGATTTGATTTGAAGCTGTAGATGGCGCCTTATCACTATTGCCTTTAAGACTCCTACAATAGATTTGGATGGATTGACATAGGCTAGAAAATTGTATTACCTTCCTTCATGTGATAAACTGACTATATAACATCCACTGTACACACCAAAGCCTAATGTAAAGTAATAATGCTTTGGTTTTGCAATCTCATATCAATGCTTGAATTACTGTAAACCTCTTGTAACGCATATATATTATAAACACATCCTTAAAATAAAATCTCCATTCAGGACTAGGCCTTCCATGATTTTTCTCATTACCAACTATACATAGCTTAGGTTAATAATGATGTCAGTTAGAGTTAAATTAGCAATTTCATTGTACTATTTATATATTCTAGAAACCATTATGAAACAAGTTATCTAAACTTTTACTGTGAATTATTTAACACTTATTACATTAAAAAAATGTTTTCAAACATAATCTAAAGATATATCCAGTCCACAGGTATTTCCATGTATGTCAGATCGATATATTGTTATAGTGGTGTTCAAAATACTTTATTTCTGCATTTGATAACACCTGAGTAACCGCAATCCTCACTATCACATTTATAACATGAATAGCACAAATACAGAATTTTCACTACATTTTAAATTGAGCCTTAGATAACATGCAGAGTATTAAATTTATTGACTTATTTATATATATATATATATATATATATATATATATACATATATATATAGGCAATGTATAAGAATAACACCAATTTAAATTATTACAATACTAAAGGTATTTTTATTGTTGACAATTGAAGTATGAGATGTTTTTATGTATTTATTCTACAACTTTTCAAGATTTGTTAGTCAATGATGAACAAATTTTATCAAATTATAAAATACAATATAAAAATCAGTGTTACAGCTTAATAAATCAAGCAAAAAAAAAAACTTATGCTTAAGCAATTTTAATAACAATACAGCGCGATGTAAATCAGCCAACATTATGTATTAAGCAAGTAGCATAGACACAGGTTCATAGGGACTTAAATTTACATGAAAATTAATAAATTTACTAAAATGTTAATTTTAATCATATGTGCAGATCTAATTCAAATGCTGTCAAGCTTATGATATATAATTGATGTTTCCGCTATTAATAGAGTTCCTATGAATGTTAAACCTGACTAATGTATTTTGAATTGTATAGGCAATGTAGACCCATTTTGAGAGTTTTAGTGTAAAAGTATGTTCAAGATGTTATAAATTTTTCGTTAAATTGAATATCGTAGAATATAGATTATAAATTATAATATTAAAAGCCTTAGAAATATTTCCCATTTATTAGTATTTTATAGTATAATACTTAATATTTTTTAAGATATTTACTGCATCCTTCTATACAATGTTTTTAGAGTTCCAGTATTTTTAATAAGCATACGAAATATACTTCATTTTAAATTACCAAAATATTATGTAAATACATAAAATATTTAATATATATTTTGTGCTTAGTACTTACCAAAGAAATCGACGCAGAAGTGCCTTTGGAGTTTTGTGCATGTACTTTTGATGCGTTGAAAGTTTGCGTGCGACAAAACCCAATCGAATGTCGCTTCCCGCCATAAATAACTGATTATCAATGTAATATAATAAAGATTATTAATTAGTTTAGGAATTAATATTCTGGAAGGAAATATTTCGGCTTGGGAATGGCAATTTTAGTAGAAGTTGAAAGCTTGTTTATGTCATGGTCACTGGACGGGACTTGAATTTTATTTATGAGCAATAATTATGAATTCAAATAATAGTCAATAGAAGATAACGAGTTGGTAGGTCAACATAGTGCCTTATGTTATTTTTATTTCCAGAGATATATAGGTAATATTCGAGTACAATCCAAACGCACACAAAAATTACAAGAATGTGCATGGATTCGATGCGATACGTAGTAAACGTAAAAAACTGTTTACAATCGGAGTGTAAGCCAAACATATTTTAACTAACGTGATTTTGATGATGACCAGATGCTCGTTAGCGTTTATGGCTAGTGATGTCTAAACTATATTACTTAGCGCCCTAGCTACGCACGTAGTTTTAGTTGTGTGCATTAAAACTTAATTTTAAATCATTTAATACTAATAAAAGATTAAATTGTTATTTAGTTTTATTTCATCATTGATTTAGAAAACATCAACATATAAGATCGAAGAATTTCCAACCGGGGGATCGTTATGTTGATCAAAGTTGATTAATAATTCAAATTTCGTGATTTCTTAGTTTTATTACGAGAAAGTGGTATGGAGGCACAACACCTGGTATGAAGAATGTAGTACAAAGATTTAGAAGAGTGTGTCCCTGGTGATCTCGCCAGGTTAATAGTGAATGTTTCTGTTTTTTTTTTTTTTAAACATTGCCCTTACTTTAGGATAATATTATCCTGTGTTGTAAGGACGTTTTACAAACATAAATTTCACGCGGACAAACGCACAGATGCGAAACAACTATCTGTGGGTCACACAAATAGTTGTCCCGTGTGGAAATCGAACCCACGACCGGGGTGTGGGTTTGGCCACGGCCTTGGCCACTGCGCCACGGGATCATCAGAATGCTCGAATACTTCCAGCCTTCATCGTCGTTTTAAGCAGATGGGACATTGATTGTTTAATTAAGAATAGTGGGTTCGAAGCCTGGAGGAGCGCAGCAATGAGATTGTATAATAAATGCAAAATCACCGAGGTTGTGTCGAATGAATAAAGGCATAAGATATACGTAGCTTAAGACTAAATATTCCCATTTCACCAGAAAATAAAACAATTAACAGAATACTGTAATTTATTACAGATCTAGTAAATTAATTTAAAACAACTACGTATTTCCATCTGAAACATTAAAGATGTAATGGCGATGAATTAATAATGATGGATTTTCATTAGATGTCTATCACAATAAATAAAAATTTCTCACTTCAAATTTCTAAGAAATAATAATGACTGAAAAAAAGAAAATTACGGACGAAATTTTACTCGACGTATAGATTTAAACAATTACTTCATGCGCTCAAATTTTAAACAAACGAAAAAGTAGAAATAATTTAAATATGATTTGCGCGAGACTACAAAATTCCGCCTTTTCTTCTTTTAATTTTAGTATTATTTCATTTCTGATTGTGGTTCTAAAACATTTCCAAAATGCAAATTCTATTATTTTATTGCCAACGTTATATTTTCCTTAACTTTGTACCTAATGTATTACATTTACATTTTGAGTAATACTACTAAAACATCTTTTTTAGACTACTTGAAAAATTTTATTTGCATGTAAGTTAATGACTGTTATGCTTTATGGTAATAGCAATCGTGTCTGTGGGGACGTTTTGTCTATGATCAGGCGGCGGGCGTGGGCGCGACAGGGGCGCCCTCGTCGGGCTTGCTCTCCAGCGAAAACGGCGGGATACGGCAATCGAAAGTGTAACCATCTTCGCGCTCCATTCTGAACGTGCCCCTGTCAAATTGAAACGTATTTGTGTAACGGCCTCTTGCTTCCGTCAACTTACTCTATTCAAGCAAATTGATTATTGTCTATGACGACAGTTCAAGTAAAACTAGGGTGTCAAAAGTGAAAAAAGATATCGATGTATCGATATTTATAGAAATATCAATATCGGTCTCGATACAACGAAGAGAAAATATCGATACATCGGATTTAAGTTTTAGAACCCCTTCTTTATCCAAAAAAGAGGTGTGTTAATTATTAAATATTTGACACCTACGGACTCTGTGCCGGATTAGAATTTGAAAAAATTTCGTTTTTGATACGATCTTCGAGATTGAATGTTTTCCAAATATATCGGGTGAAAATATATGAACATATAGAATTAAAAATATCGACATATCGATATCTTATCGACATCCCTAAGTGAAACCTCGTTCATGGTCAGGAGCGAGTTGAGACGGCAGTGCAAAGTCATATACGGCGTAAGGCTGGATATATAAGAGAGACGAAACGTCGCTCACCACATGTGGCCGCTCGGCGCTTGGAGGCTCACGTGGCTGCTGTACTGGAAGGCGGGCGCGTGCCGGGCCAGCACGGGCTCCTGGCCGACCACCCCCCTCCCTCGCACCGTCTCCAGAGTGCCGGAGAGGGAGAAGATGCGCCAGTGGCGCTCGCGCAGCTGCACCGCCTGCGCGCCCAGGTTCTCCAGGCGGATGCAGTAACGCCACTGGACGGTCGGAAATACCGTTAGGCTTCGGCCATCCTTCATTCCTTACTAATATTATAAAGGCGAAAGTTTGTTTGTATGTATGGATGGATCATCAAACACTACCGAACGGATTCTAATGAAACTTTACAGTAACAGCTTATACATCAGAATAACACATAGGATATAATATACAGCGTGTCGTTACAACCGCGACAATAAATGAACACACATATAGAGGATAACTTTTTAAACATTTACAATTTTTAAACATCAATTTTACCGAGTTATTAAATTATCCAAAAGAAACAATTTTAGAACACCCCTATAAAACTGTAACGTAAAGTTCATTTGTAAAGTCCACAAAGCATATGAATGGGTTAAACGAATTTAAAAGACATAAAAAATACTGTTAGAAAGAGCGATTTGTAGTGCGACGCTGTGGCAAGGAATGAAAAAGTCTCTGAATGTACGAATCAGTCAGTTGTAGTTGTATAGGATGTTACAAATTTTGTTTCTTTTTTATTTAATTAGTTTGTTTGAAAAATATATTTTGTTCAATAATGTTTTTTTTTTAGTTTATATTTTTTTATGATTGGCAAGTAGCGTTAGATGTGTGTTCATTTATTGTCGCGATTGTAACGACACGCTGTATATATTATAAGATGCTATAAGATATTGTGTGAATTATACAAAATATAATCGTGAAAAGAAAGTGGATAAACAATGTGTTAGATTTTGAGAGATTTCAGAATTTGCCCAATTCCAAGAGTAAATTTCTTTACCCAATAGACGGCGGAGTTCTGCGACTCCCGGCTGCCCATATAGAACGGTATGACGGTGACTCGCACACCCTCTGTAGTCTCACGATGTACGTCACTCAACTCCAGCCATGGGTGGTTCTTCTTCTGCCACGCACGGAGCGTCTCTTGCGCTATGAACGGGGGATCTGACGGATTGGAGCAATTGAAATCACATGCCAGTGTTACCCAAATTTTAACGAGTCTATTAAGGCTACGACGTGAGTATCGAAGCGTACAGATCAAAAATTAAGTTTAAGCAAGAAGTTACATATTTTTGTTTGAAATTATTTTTGTTAAATAACTTGTGCCATTAATGTGCCACAGTATTTTTCTGGTGACCTGAAGGTAACCTGGACTCTGCTACTTAAAGGATTGACTACGCAACAACAAGCTCGTGGATGTTGTGGGCGTCGATGGGCAACGGTAATCGCTAACCATATCGTGGACCACCTGCTCTATAGAGGTGGGCTCTCCCATAAAAAACTTTAAAGAAAAAAAAAATTGGTGCAAGCCTTTGTGGTTTTACGAGGCCAACACCTGCTCTTTGCCCACCTTCTCCCATAAAAAAAATTTATGAAAACCTTTGTGGTTCTATCCATTCACCAAGCCACCTATGCCTTTATTGTTAGTTTAATAAAAATATCCATAATAATAATCATTTGTCAATTAAGCAAAAGTTATGTTAGCCTTGCCCTGGTTATCGTTTTTGCATGATCGTTATAAAATACCATCACAGAAAACCGTTTCCCATTTCCCCGTGATTAGTTCATCCAATTCGGGAGATAATTTTTTTGAGAAAGTACAGTATAATGAAATCATAGTAAAAAAAAATTGCAAGTTTAACTGGTTCTTTAAGTTACTTTTACACTGATCTCTTTCAAACTGCAGTTTTCAGTCAAAGCTTTGATAATTTTAAATAAATAATGCTGTATCATGTGATTAAAATTAAGTGTTATTTGTGTTAATCACAGATTTTCTAACTATGTATACAATCACTTTCTTACGTGATTCAAAATAATGTTTTCAACAACTTACCTTTATCTGGATTATGCATGAGAAACTTGTCGAATAGTTCGTGTTGTAAAGGCACTCGCTCAACCGATGTATAGGGTATAATGTCATCATGCGCTACATAATCTAGGCCAGGGATAGCATAGAGACTTCTACTTGATTCCTGGTTGCCCAGGAACGTCACAGCTTCTGTTTGCGCCCGCTGAAAAAGGTTTAAAAAATCGCCTAAGACATTCAGTGGTTACTAATATATGAAAGCTTTTTTCAATACGGAAATATTAAATAAGAGTTACTTAATCAAAATTTGTAGAAAAAGTACGAAAAGATTGTTGCCGCTGTGGGAATTTTAAGGATTTTAATGATTAATCTTAAGTGCAGAGATTAGCACTATAAAAAAATTAAAAATAGTTACTCAAATTGTAGTCATGATGAAGATATGGTGTACTAAAACTGTAAGTGATTGAATATATTATTTTTTGGACTCTATACAGGGAGATTTTTTGAGAAGTGCCCAAATTTACACAGGCGGTTCATACTCGGTAGTATAATCGTTTATTGAAATAAAAAAAGTTGTTTTTTCAAAAAAAAAAAAATGCCATTCTATTTCCTAAAAACAGAACGTGTTGACAATGCGGTAGTCATTCATAAATACCTAAATTTTACTGTACACGAACATGTGTGCGTGTTAGTTATGAATGATCGCGCGTAAAATAAATGAGTTGCGCATAAATCACACACTTTTTGAGATAAGTTCAAATGAATGTAATTAATTACTTACGAGTGATTTTAAATATTTATCATTTTTTATATAACATTATTTATGTCTAGAATTTTAAAAAAATGGATACACTTTGAAAAGCAACCCTGTATATTTGTTTTAACATTTAGAATCTATTACAGTATTATCGGTCATGGAATAGACCAATGTTTGAAATCTATTATTATAGTTAACAAGGTCTGCAAATAGTCATTTTATTTGGGACTAGATTATCTGAAAGTGATTATTACACATTATTAGTGACTTAAATAACTTGTCATATGTGGCCTTGATGTTTTTATTACTGCTGCTTTTTTGTTGGTGATGACACATTTTTATTCCATACAATTTCATACAAATGCATTATTGCCCATACAAAATGTACATAAAAATAATGCCTCTTTTATCCCTACTAATTATCCTTACTTATATAACATTATAAATGCAAAAGTTTGTATGTACGGATGAATGTTTGTTACTCTTTCATGCAAAAACTACTGAATGGATTTTAATGAAACATTACAATAATATAGCTAATACATCAGAATAAGGTATAGGCTATTATATAATACATCTTTATAAACATATTATGAGAATTGTAATAACGATAAGTGTCAGGTAAGTAGGAAAATATTCTGCCATCTGCGAGCTATTCTGGTGTATAATAAAAAAACTCATTATTAATTCCCTTTGGCCACGCGAGCGAAGCCGCGTTTAACAGCTAGTATTATTATAAATGTGAATGTAAGTTTTATGTTATGCTTTCATACCAAAACTACTCCACCATTATCATAAAACTTTTTTAACATATTCTTATATGTATTAAAAAGGACATAGGATTATTTTTATCAAAAAAAAATATTTAAAAAACACATTTATTTAAGGGATTCAACACAGGCGAAAAGCTAGTATTAAATATTTATTAAGAGGAGCCATATTATAACAAAAATGTTATGATAAAATAAATAATTTTATTACAATTAAAATTAATCATATAATAAAATACAAACCCATAATTATTTTAGTGTTTTAACAACTATTTAATTGATTATCACAAATGAATTGAATTCATTTAATAATGATGTAAGTCATTAAATGAGGCTCAAGAATTTTATGATGAAATAGAAATTGTGATTATTTGAGGTACTGTTATAACTTAGCATGCAAAGTAATTATTCTTAATTAAGAAACAATTATGCCATGCCAATGCTGTAAATTATTGGTGGCCATTAGGAAAAAGATATGAACTCTGTTTTAGGTTATATGAATTTTGATGAAATATTATTAACTTCTAAACCTATCTTACATAAGTCACATATAGGTTAAACTTTATGTAATATGTAGATATATTGATTGGGAACAGGACAATTTTTCTAGGCTGACTTGATAAGTATGCAAAGCAAGGCTTTAAACTATTTTACACTTAAGTTCCCAAGGAATTATATACAAAAAACTGTTCAAGTGCGAGTCGTACTCGTACGCCGAAGGTAAATAATCACCACCAATTTTCTTAGGAACAGGTGGACCTAGTAAGTTAAAATTTATACCAGGTATTTCGACCCAAAACCTATGGGGAACTTCCGGTCGACCTAGAATCGTCATTTTACACGTCAACACAAGTTAAGGGAAGATGCCGAAAAATAAAAGAAGTTGAAAATTAAGGTAAATTTTGGTACTTACAAGTTTTCACGAAAATCTTAATTTACCCATATCTTTTTATCATATTGATTCAGGACCTTGAATTTAGGGTTATTTTTAATACACTTGATAGGGACTATAGAACTTAGTATCTGGTATAAATTTCAACTTGCTAGGTCCACCCATTTCTGGGAAAATTGCTGGTGGCACACGGACAGGCAGACGGACAAGACAGTGATTTTATAACGGTTACTTTTTACCTTTTAAGGTACGGATAGTACACCCTAAAAAGGGTGTTGCCTAAAAATTATTAGTTACCGACTAACAGTCATGATATTTTAAATGTTATTGTATTTTATTATGCATTTTTTATTATCTATTATTCATATTCATATGTACATTCTAATGTTGTGTTTTTTACTAAGGATGAATATATTAATTAAAACATTGTGTATAATGGAAGCCCAATAGTTAATATATTTTAGTAGTATTATTAATACATATACATGTAATAGTAGTTTTTGCCAATACCTTTTTCTTCCACTCTGGCCTCATGTCGATGTTTGTTTGCACAGTCAACAATAAATCATTTATATTTAATATCAATTAGGAAAAATTATAGACCTAAATGAATAAAACACAATAATATAACAATAAATATGAAACAATGTTCTGTCAGGGTAAATATCTAATTCCCATAACACATGCAATTAGTTGTTAATACCACTCCACAACATATATTTTAAATTTCCAACATACTGAGTAGTTTATAGAATTTGAATTAAACTAATAAAATGTTTTGATTAGGAAAAAAAAGAATAAGACAGCAAGTAATGTATGTGCATGTGGATACTGATAGATGTTGAGGTCGCTGTGACCTTAAAATGCTTTAGAAATTAATTATGAGATAAATAAGCCTTGGCCTAGGTAAATAATACCATGGTCATGTAGCAATATAGTGTTTCTGTTATCCAGCTATATAAAAAGTGGTTAGCATTGACATGAACAACCTTATAAAGATGGAATAATATATATAAATGATGATTATAGATAATGTTAAAAATATTGACATTTCATACTTACTATATAAGGTGCATCCCGAGTATCTATGAGGACTTGATAAAAGGTGTGAGTTCTGCCCTTAACTTCTTTGCCAACATTCGATAAAGAATCTCCAGTGGCTTCTGAAGTGCTAGAACTCTCTGCATATTCTTTTTTGTTAGTAGCGTCCCTATCGTAAACTCTTGCTAGCCAAGGAAATAATATGACGCCTCTATATCCAAATACTTTATGCAAAATAAGTTGACCCGTATCATATTTTCCTGTCGTCTTTGGCGTTTCTAACTTGCCCACTTCTGCCAATCTGAAAAGCGTAAATAAAAAATATAGAGTTAGGTTATATGCGTATTAAGTACCAAAATTTAAATAATTTTCTTATACGTACCTTGTATAATGTGCTACATTAGTTAATAATATTCTAGATACAGTTAATCTAAAAAGATTTGCCGGTACAAATCGTGTCAATAATTCCATTTTATCATTTTAAATTATTGTTTTTCGTGTTATCGATGTATTTTTTTTATTGACACTGACGGAATTCAGTGTCAAGTGTCAATCAAAAAGACTACCACAAACTTAATACTTATGGTTCTGGCTGCGTTAAACGTTATGCAGACAAAAGTTTCATGTTACTATCCTATTTAATAAATATTTGTACAATATAATTTTATATAATAGTAATTTAATAATTATCTATTTATTAATCATTAAAATTTAAGAGCATAATAATTTTCAATAATATAATAATTTACCCAAACATCGCAATATGGATTTGTGCCTTTTGTTTAATTATTAATGGTATATCGGAAATAATATGAATTTTAAAATTCACAACTAGTAGCATTTATTACAACAAAAACAACAAGCGTAACGGACGCGACTCCAGAGCCGTGAAACAAATAAAAAACAGCAACTAGTTTGCAGAGTTCAAAGTACTCTATTTTTTTTTTAAGTTTTGTTGCGCTTTTTTTAAAATGTTGAATATTTTGTCAAACTCTGTAAAAACCTTTGGTAAGTAATAATTCTTAAATGCCTAAAACTATTACGGCTTTATTGATTCTTTTGTTTTTTAATGTTAATAAATTACTTTTACAGTTTTCTCTGCTAAAAAGCAGTCCAGATGTATAGCTTCATTATCAGCTTTATCCGATACCTATCAGATGTTGTATAAAACATGCCGTGATTTTGCTGAAGGAGAATTAAAGCCGCATGCCGCAAAATATGACAAAAATCACGAGTACCCCACAGAGGCAATTAAAAAAATGGGTGATTTGGGCCTCATGGCAATAGCAACGCCGGAGGAGTTAGGTGGAGCTGGTCTGGACTATCTGGCATATGCCATTGCATTGGAAGAAATATCGCGAGGCTGTGCTTCAGCTGGAGTAATTATGTCCGTCAACAACTCCTTGTACCTTGGCCCTATAATGCATTGGGGTACTGATAAACAAAAAAAGGACTTTGTGACACCATTTTGTATGGGTTTGTTGGCAATGTAATTTGTTCCACTATAACATAACATTAAGAGTTTTGTATCCAAAAATAATCCAAACTTAATATTAATAAATATGAAAGTAGTTTTTGTTTCTATCTTTCTTCTTTCAAGTCACAATGGAACAATGATTTTTGTGTGTGGCTTATAACTGCGGTAAAACATCTTATTCCATTGTGAAGATCCAATATGATGCATATTTGAATAACTCCGTACTAATAGTAAAAATGTGTTGGTCCTTCTTTAACTTTATAAAGGATCTATGGATTGATATAAATATGTAGCTGGAAATATTAATATATAAATATTGATGATATAAATTTATCCCTATCCAAACTCATAAAAGCAGGATGCACCAGGAATGTGTCATGTATGATTAACAACTCATTGTTAATTCTCTTTGACGATGTGGACAACAGCTAGTTGATACATAATGAAGTTTTACTTAATTTCTAGGAGACATTGTTGGTTGCTTCGCTTTGTCTGAGCCTGGAAATGGATCAGATGCTGGAGCTGCATCCACGACAGCGAAAGATGGAGGGGACAGGTGGATTCTTAATGGGACAAAATGTTGGATTACAAACGGCTATGAAAGTAAGGCATCTGTTGTTTTTGCCACCACTGACAAAAGCCTAAAACATAAAGGGATTTCAGCCTTCATAGTACCAAAACCAATTAAAGGCTTAGAGTTGGGCAAAAAGGAAGACAAACTTGGTATAAGGGGATCATCCACGTGTTCACTTATTTTTGAAGATTGTGAAATACCTAAGGATAGTATTTTAGGTGAACCAGGCTTTGGATTCAAGATAGCAATGATGACTTTAGATGCAGGAAGAATTGGGATAGCATCTCAGGCTTTGGGTATAGCACAGGTAACTAATAAAGACAAAAAAGTTCTAAAAGCTTTGCTTCATATTGTCTTTGACACAGCTAATTTGTATTTCATTTCAATGGTATGATTTAGTATGTTTATTCACAATTTTTATCACCTATTTATGACTCAGTGAAGTTCAATTCTTATGTCAATTGTTATGAGGAAGGGAAAAGTGCTAGCTAATACCACTAACAATCTGATGCACATTTTATTTTTCATGCAACTACCAAATGATTGCAGGCATCATTGGATGTTGCTGTAGAGTATGCATCAAAGAGAATAGCTTTTGGTAAACCAATTTCTAAGCTGCAAACCATTCAGAACAAATTAGCGGACATGGCACTGCAATTGGAGTCTGCAAGGCTGCTTACTTGGCGTGCAGCATGGTTGAAAGATAACCAAAAACCATACATAAAAGAGGCAGCTATGGCTAAGTTAGCTGCATCTGAAGCTGCTACATTTTTATCACACCAGTGTATCCAGGTAAAACAACTTAGATACTTTATCAGGCTTTGTTTTTATACATTTAAGCTTTACAATTACTTATATACACATAGACAATCTTACTTTCTCCAAAGACACAGACAGTGTTATAGGCACAGTTTATCATCAAATTGCTGGTACAGCATGTGAATATATTTCTTACATGTTATTTTTTATAGAATCTCCATAGTGGATGTACATCAGGTAATATTTAATTGTCACAAAAACCATGTTGTTTTAAATTTCAGATTCTTGGAGGTATGGGCTATGTAACAGATATGCCAGCAGAGAGACATTATAGAGATGCCAGAATTACTGAAATATATGAGGGCACTTCAGAAATACAAAGGCTTGTAATTGCTGGTCAAGTTCTGAAAGAGTATAGTATGTAATATTTAATTCAACATATTGTATATAGAAGAAAATCATTTTATATATAATGTAATCATAAACATATTTCAAGATTTCTTGTTTATATTTTTAAATTAAATATACATAATCGTTTATAATTAAGAGTTTAATATGTTATAGATTAGATACTGTTCATTTATATTTAAGTAATTACAATAATAAATTTAAAATATTTATTTTTAATCATTGCATGTATTTTTAAATAGAAACATATTAATGAGAACTGATGGAAACATTGCAAAGTACAAAAAACAAAGTCAATATTTATACATTACAGAAATTAATAAAAGAAATGAGTGTTTATACTATCATCTTTGACTATTGACCCGGCCCAGAAAGGGATTTATCCATGAATTTCCTTTTAGCAAAGCACAGCCACCACTTACTGGGCTTTCCATCTTCAGTGGCAAACACCTGTTAATGAAATAAGTACCATAAATGAGAATAATCTAAAAGGCAGATTATTTTATATGTCCTAAAGTATTTTTTTTAAATTCCAATTGTCCTTTCCCCATCCTTACATATATTATGTGTAAAAGTGGTGAGTAGGAAGATAATTAAATGATAACTGCCACCTATGGACATTATGGACACACAATTTTAACTAAATATTGATAAAAGAGAGTTACCTTTTCACAAACTCTGTTGCCTGTTTCATGCCTTAATTGTTGTAGGTACTGTCTCATTAAGTCTAAAAAATAATAAATGAATACCAAATTTTAATAAACATTATCATTTTTTGTTTTATCTATGTCTGAGCACATTCCTTTAACTTTATTATACTATCTCAAATGGGTTAGGCAGTTGAAGCCAGCATGTCATTGCAGCACCCATACTACAAAAGTTACATGTCATGGCTGTGGAGAGGCATTTAAAGGACCTCTATAGAGTTGCTTGCACTCCATTAACGCATTTATTGACAAAATGTTACTTCACCTCAAAAAAGATGTTACATAAACATGTGGAAGTAGGATTTTCGAAGACAAGCTAAATTTGTTGGAAATTATTTGGACCTTTATGGTTGGAATTTTTGGTCTTGAATAATATTGGGAACTGACTTTTTTATACCTGTTAATGCTGCAATCTTTAACCTACTTTCTAATTACTTGATTTACATGGATTGCAAATAATTTCCCTTCTCAAATAATCAGGTTCCAGGACTCGAAACAGAAGTTAGGTCCTGGACTTCTCTATGAACATTTACATCAATTGATTCTATGGACCATCATTTAATCTTAAGATATTGAAGTGTGAAAAAAACAATGCCTGGCCACATTGATCGAATTACTGTTCATGAAATAACCCTCCACTGCAAAAACGCACAGTCGCACATATAAGTAAAAAGATGCATACTTATGCGCCAATTGAAACCCATTTCCCTGCTACTGCAATTCTAGCCGCCACACACTTACCCAAAATGTAAAATCTGCCAGTAGACACCTTGTACATTTACACATATTGGTATAGATATATCCATTACATATAACTACTAATTTACACAATTAAATCCAAATGTTAATATAATGGATCCATCAGGTGACTTGATGATTCTGACAAACTAATTTACTCATTTTGTCAATTAGTTTGAAATTAGCAGGAAACTTTGTAATAAACAAAATTCATAATATGATAAATTAATGTTAATAGCAAAATCCAAAGCAAGAACTTTGTTACATAAAATAACCATATATTTGTCATAAAATTGATACAAACCGGCTTCTTGGGAACTGCTAGGCTTAGCATATACAGAGTTCAGAGGAAAACCTGCCTCCCCTGGAATGTCAAACTTAGAAATTGCTAGCATATACATTTCTTGTTGGCCTTGATTTTTATTTGAGCACTTTTGCAATCTTTTCAGGCATTCAGAAATGTAAAGAGTTAAGTATATGAGGACTCTATCTGCATCAGACTGTAAGGGTACAACATTAGATTTTTTATAAATGTACATAAATTTATAGAAATAATCAATATTAAAGTTATTTTTCATAAACGAAACATTGTTTCTATGTTAGTGCTTTGTGTTTAAAAACTTGGTTTTATTTGAGCTTCTTATATATGTGATAATTCATACCTTAATTTCATAAAACCTAAAGAATACATTCGCCTTAAAATAGTTAAGTGCTTCGTCAATAATATCCAATTCTAGCTTAGGATTTGTAGGTGCAGGACCTCTGTAAGTGGTACGTAGCGGCAACAAAGCTAAGTTGCCGACCGACTGACTGTATTCAACTAACGTAGAGTGATACGCCTGAAATGTCGAAGTAATTTCATATTTAACACAAACGATATCACATACAATATTTTACTAAATATTAGACATTTCATATATAAATACCAATCTGACTCACCGGCATATTGAAATTGATTAATACTTAGCGATAACGACTGTAATGCACTAGGTAAATAACGAAAGTTAAGACCCAGTTTATGAAATATGAAGTCACTAAGTACTTAAAATTATAAATTACTCCTTAAATATAAATTTTAAATGGTAGACTTCATGCAATGAATCATAGGCCTATTTTGTTGATGAATTTTTTTGTGATGTAAGCTAAGAGTTATCCAAACTTTACGCTAGGTTAACATATGACATATGACGTGAAGCTGTGTAGCAATTTTATTGGGTACCAATCAAAGTTACTCTATGGCATGGTATTTTGGGAGCCGGCAGGAGGGAATAATTAAGATGCAGTACAAAGAACAAGCCGTGTTGAGAAAAACAATCTTTTATTGTCACTCGTTGCTATAGAAATTTGTCAATAATAGGGTAATGCTAGACCGATGAGAGTAAGGGTGTAAAAGATAAGAGCGGTGCTACACAGTAGCAAATGAGTCGCCACATCACCCCCCTACGGAGAAAAATAAGTACACATTGAAGGCAAAACAAGTATAAAATGTAACAATCTAATAATTATACACTGTTATTATAAAAGTACAAGCAACATTATTTAGGATAATTTTTAACTAATGGAATTTTAATTTATACAACGAAAAAATAAACATTGGAAACTTAAAATTGAAAAAAACTCTGCTTTAACAAAAATAACGTATTAAAAACTAGTACTTATAAATCTAAAATATCTTTAAATTTAACTTTGCGACCTGACCGGGTTGTTACAGGCTGTGCGGGCGTTTTAATGGGAACGGCCGTTTGGCTAATAGGAGGTGAAAGAGTCGGAAGGACTGGGAGCTCCGGTGCCAAGTTGTTAGGGGACGGATTGCCGTCTGGGTCAGGTGCAATATACGCAGGTTTTGTTCTGTCGATGCTAACCTCAGATCTTCGGCCAGAAATGTCTAAGGTAAGTGTCTTTTCAGATCTCTTCAACACTCTGTAGGGGCCTGTATAAGGTGGCTGTAGAGGGCGTCGAACGGAATCTTCGCGGAGGAACACGTGAGTAGCATCAGGTAAGTCCTTGAAAACGAAAGTTTTAGAATTCGTGTGACGTGATGCTGGAACGGGGCGAAGTTCTGCCATCCGTTTTCGCAACTGTGCAACAAAATCATCGTCCACGGTTTGAGGGGAATTGCTAGCCACCAGGAACTCGCCTGGTAGGCGTAGTGGTTCCCCATACAAAACTTCTGCAGCTGACGTTTTGATGTCATTTTTTAGTGCCGCCCTGATTCCGAGAAGAACGAAAGGTAGGGCATGGTACCAAGAACTCTTGTGACACATTAAAGCGGCCTTTAAATGGCGGTGGGAAACGCTCTATCATCCCATTAGCTTGGGGATGATAGCTCGTAGTACGAACGCGTTTTGTGGCTCCTAAATCCATCAGTTTGTTGAAAAGTTGGGACTCAAATTGACGTCCCTGGTCCGTTGTGACAGTGATCGGTACACCAAAGCGAGCGATCCAGCCATGGGTGAATTGATCAGCGACTTCTACTGCGGTTATCGACGACATATCGATGACAGCGTGAGAAACGGTCTACTGCTGTTAGGCAATAAGTGAATCCGTTTGAAGAAGGCATCGGTCCAATAATGTCCAGGTGAACATGACGGAATCTGCCTGAAGGTGTGCTAATGTTGCCAAGCGGTGAAACGACATGGTGCGTTACCTTGCTGCTCTGGCAGGCGAGACACTCGCGTGCCCAGGAGCGGCAGTCTTTAGCAATGCCTGGCCAAACATAGCGGTCGCTAATGAGGCGCGCGGAAGCGCGTGCGCCGGGGTGGCTGAGACCATGTAGGCGATCGAAGACGCCTCGCCGATATTGTTTTGGCAAAAAGGGTCTAGGTTTGCCTGTGGACACATCACACAAAACGGAAATGTTGGATCCAGGTATGAGGGTTGGCTCTAACTGTAAAGAAGAATGGACCTTTACGGTTTTAAGTTCGTCGTCCGTCTGCTGAGCTTTTGCCAGGGCTGCGAAATCGTCATCGAGCGTGATAGCCTCAATGCGGGACATTGTGTCAGCAACGATGTTGTCTTCCCCCTTCACATGTTTGATATCAGTTGTAAACTAGGGAAATAAACGTGAGTTGGTTAAGTTGAGCAGGGGGCAATTTTTCACGGCGTTGGACGAAAGCATAAAGAAGCGGCTTGTGGTCCGTGTAGATTGTCGCGTGTTGTGCCTCTAGTATATGCCGGAAATGCTGTACGGCCGCGTACACTGCGAGAAGTTCGCGGTAATACGCGGGCCATGTACTTTGGCTCTGTTTTAGCTTTTTGCTAAAGAATGCCAACGGCTGCCAGCCTTGATCAGACCTTTGCTGTAAGGCAGCGCCGACATGAGTGCTGGAGGCGTCCGTGTACAACCCTAAACGAGCATTTCGTTGCGGATGTACAAGCATGGTGGCCTCTGAGAGACTGTCGCGACACTCGTAGAAAGCACGCTCCAAGTCTGCTGTCCAGGGCATAGTTTTTGAACCTTTTAGGTTGCTGACTGTTAAAAAATCCACAAGTGGAGCTTGGAGCTTGGCGGCTTTGGGAAGAAATTGGCGGTAATAAATAATAAATTTACCATCCCCAGGAAGCGTCTCAAACCTTGAGCTGTTTTGGGAAGCGATAACTCGCGGAGCAGCGATCTTCTCTTCAGGTGGGCAGATACCATCCTTGGTTATCTTATAACCTAGGAAGATTACCTCACATGTCCCCAATACGCACTTATCCACATTGACAACGACGCCATAGTCCACCAGTCTTTGCAGGATTATGCGCAGGTGTTTGGCGTGCTCTTCAGCATCCCGTGAGAATACCAAAATATCGTCAATGTAGGGAAAAGCGAAGTCTAGTCCACGCAAGATCTCATCGATGAAACGCTGGAAGGTTTGGCCAGCGTTGCGTAACCCAAATGACATATAGGGAAACTCGAAAAGACCAAATGGCGTTATTATGGCCGTTTTGCAAACATCTGGACCAGCTACCGGAATCTGCTGGTAGGCCTTTACTAGATCTAATGTGCTAAATATAGTAGAACCAGCCAGATTATGACTGAAGTCTCCTATATGATGCACAGGGTACCGATCGGGAACTGTCCGAGCGTTTAAGAGCCTGTAGTCACCGCAAGGACGCCACATGCCATCCTTTTTGGGTGCTAAATGCAGTGGTGACGACCAGGGGCTTTTAGATGGGCGAGCAGTACCCGCCGACACAATGTCATTAAATTCCTTCTCAGCAATTTTTAGCTTGTTGGGTGCTAGTCGACGAGGACGCGACGTGACAGGCGGCCCACTAGTTGTCGTTATATAGTGAACAGTGCTGTGTTTTATTTGACGGTCAGCTGTAGGTGGGCGCGTCACTTCCGGAAAGTCTAAAAAGAGTTGACTGAACAGGGAATCGCGAGACGGTTTTTTTTACGGTCCTAATACTTGGCTGCATTATATTGCGGTTACAACAATATGCGGATAAGTTTGTAAGCTCATCGCGCAGTGTGCCGCTACGGCAGTCGGGTAGGAGGTGGAAGAAAGCTAGGAAATCCGAACCGATAATTGGGACATCCACGTCAGCACAAATAAACTCCCAGCGAAATTCACGGCGCAGTCCTAAATTGAGGTTCAGATTAACTGTGCCGTAAGTTTTAATGGAGCTGCCATTTGCCGCATTGAGAGTAAGTCCTGTATTTGAGAAACGTCCTTTTATAAGTTTTCGTGGAAAAACAACAAATGTCCGAACCGGTATCTATCAAAAAATTAATTTTGGTATTTTGATCGGTAATTAAAAGGCGTTTGCTGGACTGTGCGCGGTCGGTACTTGCCACGTCCGACCGCTCCCTTAGTTTAAAGGTTTGGTAGTTCCTTCAAAGGTCCAGCTGCATCCTGGTATGCATTTGCTTGCTTTGTTGCCGAAACGACCGTGGTACCAGCAAAGCTTCTGATTACGTGGGCGTGAGCGCGATCGAGAGCGGCTCCGCTTTTGATTAACGCGTGAGCTCCCAGATCGTTCATGGGTGTTTGTTCTGAGCGCTGAGACTGTTCGCGTCAATTCCTCGATCTGCCGCTGCATTGACGCGAGAGTGGGCTCAAAGGTATGATGCGCCGAAACCTGGCTCACGGTGGTAGGCCTCTCGGTCAACTCCACCAACTGGTCGGCCATCTCCGCCAACTCCGTCAAGTCCTGGATCTTCTGTGCGGCCAACACAATTTGAACCTGCCGGGGAAGCCGATTGGCCCAAATTGATCGCAGCAAGTCAGCGGGGAACGATTGCCCAGCCAGACTCTTCAAGTGTCGCATGAACGAAGATGGCTTGCGGTCACCTAACTGTTCCTTTTCTAGTAAGCGCCGCACCTTCTCCTCGAAGGAATCGGAGAATCTAGATATGATTGCGCTTTTTAAAGTTGTGTATGGTTGCAACTCGGGAGGATGTGTGATAATATCTTCGACCTCCTTCGTACACTTGGTATCTAAATGCGCCACGGCAAAATGAAACTTCGTCATTTCGACGGTAATTTGGTTAATGTGGAACTGCGCCTCTAGGCTAGCAAACCACAATGCGGGCCGATCCTTGCTAAAAGGCGGTGTCCTAATTGCGACCCTGTTTACGTAAATGGGACTGCCACCGACTAGTGCAGTAGCATCACCCTCGTTGCCAACGTGGCCCTCTGAAACGTTAGATTCTCCTTGACTCGCCATGGTTTAAAGGTAAAATCAGAAACGGTCAAATCGCAAAAACGCTTTACACATACACCCAGTGGAACAAATCGGTAAATACACAAACGAAACAATTTCAGTATTGCGCAGCAAACGTAATAATAAAATTGGTAGAAAAGTAAAGTAAGTCTAAATACAACATAAAATGATACTATCTTAAGTGTAAAATAGCACTAAACTTTCACTTGAACGAGTGTAAACGCAGCATCCGTCGCGAAGTATCAGTGGAGAGCTGTTAGTCACCTGACACAATGTTGCGGGTGATTGCC